TAAGGATCTACCATTGCATTGGCTGACAGGCCAGAACTGAAGGGGAGCCAGCCTGGGTGGAAAATTCCTTCCACCTCATCTCCTAAACTGTTTGCTTGAGAGACTCTCTGATCAGGCATGTAAATCTGCACAGCAGTAGGTAAGGTTAAATATGTATATGACAAAAGGGCATGTCAAAACCATTAATAAAATGCTTGTGGCTAAGCATCAGTGCAAATGACCGTGCTTTTATTGAAGACCCACATTAACATTTTTTGGGGGTCTTGGCCTAGAAGGTATGACCTCAGCTTAATTTTCTTTTTTATCAAAATAGGAAAAAGTCCCACGTTGACATCCCAGCTAATCATACAGTAGATTCAACTGGAAATTCATTTTTTAATTTCCGTTTAATTGAGTGAGTTTTTTGTATCACTGTTGGGGGGGGAGAAGCTCAACAAATTTATCCTAGAAGAAGCATCAGACTCATTGTAGCTATCTGTAATGTTAACCACAAGTCTGTTATCATCCCATTTCAGCAATGATTGCCACAGATGGCAGATAAATGACATAATTTTGAATATTATGGCTGACATTTGTCTTGCAATACAGAAGGAAAATATCACATACCAAGGGAAAAGATATTAGACTAATTAAGTCTGCTGAACGGTGGTATCAAATATTAAATGGAGGTTGTTTACCGAAAGATAAAACAATGACCCCAAGCTTCTGATTCTCAGGAGATCAAAACGGTAAGCACTCTTTTTGTAAAAAATCATTGCTAAAAGACATGCTGTTCATTTGTGGAATTAAATATTCACTACAAAATGCTTCAAACAAAACTCAGCTTTACCAGAGCTGCAGAATTCTTACTCCCACACGCACAATGTACACTGAAGCATTTTGTGCTGAACCAAAGATTTTCTCCTTTTTAAAAAAACAAAGAAAAATATGGAGACACAGACGTTAGACTGACACATTCACACATTTACAGTATATGCATCCGTTTATATAAGTATACAAGCACACAGTGCTATGCAAAGGTCTTAGATACTTTGCGCTGTTCTGCTGTTTTTACTCAGTGTTTCTCCCTCTTTATGCATAAACACTATTCTCAGGCAATTACTACTAAACTGTAGCCATTTTGTTTTAAGATAACAGATAATCCTGATTGATCTGCATTGTTAGTAAAAGAAAAAGCAGCCTTTTAACTTTATAGCCAACATGGAAAGGAACAGAGTACTTTAATGATGAGCAACACCTGACAATTTGATGGTAAATGTGATGTATTTGCTACTAAAATACTTTTTATTGACTTATTTAATGTATTAAAGGGGTAACAATTCTATTTTAAAACAATGTTTTAAAATGGTAGATTTTAGTGTTAGCAAATGATAAATTAGCAAGTATGAATATTATGTAAGTGATTAATATAGATGATTTTGTGTGTGCTTTACTGGAACTAAAGCACTATTATCTTCCAGCTCACACCGATTTGATGAAAGTCCGAGGATCATAATATAGCTAATAAAGCCTTTGAATCTGCACTTATTTAAATGTATTCAGATGCATCAAATAAGGAAATCAATAATTGGTACATTATTTCAATTCAGTATAACATCCAACATGAAACTCACCATATGTAACAAGTCTGATCATAAAAATGAATCTTGACTTGAGTGTTAAAAAAACCTACTAATTTTATACTGATGGAAAAAAGAAACGCAACATTTTCTGGAATGAGAATACTAGTTATAGCTTATTTACTTTCACAAAAAGGTGTCAATTTGTTTCAAGCCCTCTGACCAGCAATACAGCTTGTGCAGTGAGGCATTGCAACTTGCCAATCACACAAAAGCTCGTTAGGTGCACTTTCACCCAACGAGGTCCAGGTGGAACAATGCCTGATCAGGTCACCTTTAAAAAGGCCTCAATTCAAAGCTTAGGTCACTGCAAAAAAAACTGACAATAAGTCAGTTTTCTGTGCATTCCATAATGCCTCGAATATCACCAGAAACAAGGGAGAGGTCCATTGGCACGTGGCAGGCAGCCATGTCATGTGCCAGCATTGCCAGACACTATGGAGTGAGCCGCTGCACTGTGTCCCGACTGCAGAGAAGGGTTTACCGGACTGGCAGGACGGATGACTGTCAAAGATCTGGCTGCCCTCAAGTGAGCACACCAGAGCAGGACCGACACATCAGACTGGTCCATCTGAGAGATCATTTCAGATCTGCCACCCGTACTGCTGCTGAAACCGCCAGCAGACACAGTGCCCGCATCAGTGACAGGACAGTGAGGCTCCATGCTTCTGGCCTCAGAGCAAGACGACCTGTAGGAGGCCCTCTGCTCACACCTCCTAGACGTCACACCAACCGGCTTGGGCCAGACAGAGATGGACTCGTCAGCAGTGGCATCAGGTCCTCTTCATGGATGAGTCACTCTTCAGCCTGTCCCACGCAGACGGGAGGGCCAGGGTGTGGAGGAGGAGGTGTTGCGTTTCTTTTTTCCAGCAGTATATATTGACCAATGTCCCATAGCCTTGACATATACAGAGACAAACCGATTTCGTACAGTTAACACCCTGGGCTTATTAACAGACACATAACCATGCCAACAGTAAAACTAACTGTTAGTCAATAAAGTGACTTTTGAAATGGGGTTAAATGGCTGTATGACTTTGATTTGGTTATGAACTGAGTGTCACTATTTGTATAACATTAATTTAGTGATGTACCCACAGTCTGCCAATTGATTATAGGACATACAGTATATATTCACATCAAATTTGAACAAAAATGCAATTAGAGAAAATGATTGAGAAGTAATTTTGTAAACCTAGCTAATCACCCGTAACCTTAAGAAACCTTTAATATTTAAAATCCTCAGTGAAATTCAGTCTGAACATTTCAAAATCAACTCCAACAGTTAAGCATTGTTCAGTTGAAGAAAACAGGTATCAACATGCATGTTAGGAAAATGAATTGTTTTTCAGAGTTTTAACGTTTCTGCTCACAGCCGCACACAAAAAAAAGATGATCTACTAAGCTAAATGCTGAAGATAAGAGATGGTAGACAAAGTGTGAGTGTATCTTACTTTATAATTACTTGAAAAAAATTAAACCAAGTTATTCAATAAGCACAGTTGTGTTGATTACAATATCAAACAGAGTGAATTTTGAAACACCAAAATTAACAGCTTGAAAGCTGCTAAATGCTTCATTAATGACCCATTAGCAAATTCTCATTTTATTTGTGCTCAATTGAATAGTGACGCACCGTGCTCAATTTCCTTGTCGATCTCTCTTTTGGAATTCACATGCATCAGAATATAAAAAACAGTAACAAACTATTCTGACTTTATACATCTTCCTTCTTTAAGAAAAGAGTAGAGCTCTTAGTATATTAAACAGGCTGTATTTATCTGACATAATTTATACTGAAATAAAACTGGTTACATTATGCACATTGCATAATTACTGACAAAGTATGAAACAGCCTGATGAAATTCAGGGTCTGAATTACCATGCTACAGTAAATGTACTGTATCTTTCTAAGAACATTTACCTTTTAATCATATTTGGTGATTACAATGGAAAAAAAAATCTTAAATTTAAAGAAAACTAAAGGAAATGTATAAAAAACTTTAAAATCCAATCTCCTGAATAAAATGTTTCCTGAGCAGCAGTGAAATCTTAATGCTGATCAGCATATTGTATGTAACTTCACAGCAAGTGAAAGTAACTTTGATGATTTCTCACAATGCAAATTGGCCATATTACTGAAGTCCTATTTTTGTCCACTGTCATATACGTACAGTAGTACAAAGTAAATGATGAATTTGCTCATCTAAGCCAAATATATACTCTCTGGAAAGACAAAAATTACAATTGAGTTCAAATATAAATAATTTATAAATTAAGGTTCCCAGCCTTACACATAAATGAAGAATGTAAAACAAAACAAAAGTGTTAACAGGAAATGTTGGAGATGTGGTGAAGACTTGAAGACCACAAGTCACATAGTGACAGAAAATTTTCAGTTGAAATTATAAATGCTTAATCCCAGTAAAACAATTCCATAGGCATCAAGGTTCTTCTTTCAGTATTGTCTGTTATATGTGACAGGTGAAGACAATTAAATGTATGATTAATTTCTTTGTCAACGCAAACCTTAGCAAATACAGCATTCCACAATTAATAAAAAGGCCCCAGGTACAGTAACTTTGTGTCGGTTCACTTCTTTGAACTTTTACGATACCCTTGCCAGTCCTCATGATTTTTTTTACTCAGGAAATTTCCTAAAGATATTTAAAATAATTAATTTATTTTCTCTACTCACACCAGCTTTCTCTTTGTTCTTCAGTCTAAACAAGCAGAGCAGCACTGCAGTTATACTCTAGGGGTCACACTTGGGTTATTCTTCCCTGGCCTCCAACAGTATAACAATGCATTTAACAGTCCAACAGTACTAATGCACTTAAAGGCTACAATCACCCACTCTCTGGTGCATTTTGTCGGGGAGAAATTGAACAGCATATGAAGGCAAATGTGCACAGAGTGCATAACTTGGTGCCGAAGTCAGTAAACATTTGTTCACTGAGCTCTCGACCTGTCTCCTTGCCTTGTAGCCTGGCTGTTTTAATGCATAATTAAGAAGGTCAAAATTAATGAAGCACTGTGAGGAAAAGTTCAAGGAATCCCCAGGCTCAATTTATTCTATTAGGTCTTCAGGAGTGAGTGTCAGACTGGCAGCAATGGAGACGTTCAGTTTGTAAGTGGAGCCGGCACGCAGGAGCGGAGCCTGGTGGCTAAGGGCCCTTACCTGCAGTGTACAGTCACTCCCTAGCTCCTTCCCTGCGAAAATCACATGCAGCTGCTGAGCTGGAACCCCTCGTTGCTTGGCAACCACCTCCTTGAGGTGGAAGATGCTGGCATCTTCATCCAGTTCCACAGGGAAACCATGGTTAGAGTTGAACCTGACAAACACTGACCACATACAGTACAGACGAGAAGAGAAACACAGGTGAGGAGTGCAGTAGGTTTACAGGCAAGGCTTGCTGTAACAGGGGAGTTTCATTTTCTTTAATAAGGGCACAACATGGGACTGGACTTACTAAGCCAACTCCCCAACCTTCATTAAATTCAGTTGCTTTTCAGAACAGAAGATTGCTTTTTTTCAGTGCTGTTGCTTACTATTTTTATTCAGATCAGTCAACCTTTACAAGAACCCAAGAGTGTTGAAAATAACTCAAGAAAATTAAAACAGTACAACTGAAAACATTCTCAATAAAAGCTTTCACAGTCAAAAAGCAGGACATTACAAGAAACTGAATGGATTCAAAAGTTTGCTTTCTTTGATTTTCTGATGTACAGTACTATGTCAAATACCAGTGACTGTGAAATCTTGAGTATGTTTTATTGCATGAACAACTTAATAAATGCACACATTTTGGCTCCAATACAAAATGTGTTCCCCCTTTTTCTAGAAACAAATAAACCCCAGTCAATATTCTTAACTAAGTTTTTTGGTAGCAGTAGATTTGCACCCTCATACATTTTAATTAGTGGTAGAACATGGCCTGTAAACATGGGACTATAACAGAAATCTTTGAAAATCACTCAAACAGTATGCACATAATAAACAGCATTTACTGTACATGAGATTGTACTCTTTGTGTATGTGACAGACATCACCCTTAAAGAAAGTGACTCCAGGGATCTGAACACATAGAAAAACCACAATGGCAATACTGAGCAGTGCAGCAGGCTTTACTACAGTTTTCAAAAGATTTACAATGGAAAAACTCCAAAGCAGCCTCCCTAGCCTGCTACCAAAAGCCATCACCTAATCCTCTGTGGCCCTTTATATCCACAGTGATATTAGAGATATCACTAATTAGCCCCATGTGAGAATGTGTACCTACAGTATCTACTACCAATAATCTAATGAACTATTTACAACCTGGTGTGTCTATTTACAAATAGAGTTTTTTTCTGTATCTAGTGGCAGATCAATTGCTATTACAGTGCTTTCAAAGACCAGCCTGCCTCAGAGTAGGCAGAGTAGTTAAAGTTAGTCAAGACCACAGTATAAAGCCTTTGTCATAAAATTTTATTTCCAGGCTGCCTAGGTAACACTTAGGTTTAATCAACAATTCCCCAGATTGTCCAGAGGCCTGAAAAAAAACAGAAAGCTGTCTTGACCATCCCAAATCAGATCATTCTTTCACACCTGTCAAGTTGGTTTTACCAGAGGGTGTGCAGGGCTTGTTAAGCGTTTTGACGAACAATTACCTTTTAGCACTGTTTGCAAAGTTCTTCTATTCAAACTGAAGGAGTACAGCAGCTTACAATGTGCAGGATCTGTCAGGCCGTGACAGGGTGGCTTGTCCTTATGGACTTTGCATTAATCTTTCTCATCCAAACTTCATTTCATTTTCATGTTCTATGGACCGACGAAGCACATTTCGCCCTCCGATGGACCACAAACAAATGGAACTGTTGGACTTGAATTGGTTCAAGATGAGGATGCTGTGCTAATTGAACAGTCATAGTTATGTAGCACCACCTGGTGGAAATATATATATATATTTTTAATATATATATACATTCACATACATGTACAGTACTTAAGATCCAATATGTATACAAAAAAAAATACTAATTGGAGTGTTATTACCACTCTGAACACAGCCTTTTACATCTCACTGTCAAGGCATACAATGAATTCACAATTCTCTTAACTACTGTACCTATCTCCAGCTAATAAACTGGGTATCAAACTATCTATGTCAACATTATTAATTTCAGCAATTGTTATGCAAAAGTATCTAAAGTATCTAAGATGCAGGACTTGGAACTCATACCTTGTTGCCAACCTGAACAAAGTCATCTTGGGTTTTGGAATTTGTTTTCACTAATAAAGAACGATATAAGGAATTCTATCTAATCAAGAAATGCATACTTTAAATATTACTGTTATTTTTATTTTTTTATATATTTAGAATGAATAAAAACTTGTTACAAAAATGTGGTTTTAAGATGAAAAATATTATTGTCTGCAAATTTTAAATAAAATGTCCTTTATCGCTTTATGCTGGGAAGGTCAATTGAAATAGTAAGACCTCACAGAAAAGTACAGTGTGTAGACGTACACCAACATCATGGGATGTCTGAATAAAAATATAAGTCCACAGTTTTAAGGAAAAATAGAACATTATACTAAAAAACAATACACAACAATGTAAAAAAAAAATTAAATAATAATTTCCATGGTTTAAAATGAAATGTAAATCCAAGTTTTCCAATATGATCATGAATTAATCAGATGTATTTGTTTACCAAAAAGAGTTTTGTTTAGAAGAGTTATGTTTTAGTCTAATCAAGTTGGTTTCAAATCCTAAGTATCAGGATTTTGGGGGAGGAAAGGGGAGAGTCTGATACAAAAGAGTTTGTAAACTTTTGGGCTAATGTGCTGAAGACAGTGCTTTGCACTTTACATGAATTACTTGGGGAAGCAGATAAAAGATCCCCAGTGCTTTTAAAAGTCACAGTCCCTAATAAATTCCAGTGATAAACTGCATGTGAGGTGCAGCAGAGCGGGGTGTCTTTCTTTCCATTCCAGTGAGCTCTGTGTGCAATAACAGTATGGGCCACTTCACTCGAGACAGGCGTGGCTTCAGCACCGCTAGAAATCACACGTGAAAAGGCAGAGCTTTGTCATCGGCGCTTTGTCACATCTATCCGTCCATTTTCTAACCACTTCATCGAATTCAGGGTCGCAGGGGAGCTGGAGCTCATCCCAGCAAGCAACGGGCGCAAGGCAGGAGACACTCTGGACGGGACAAGTGTCCATTGCAGGGCAGACGGACACATACGCAGGCTAGTTCACACTCACGCTCACAGCAGGGTACATTTTCCCAGGAGCAAATTGATCTGTACACTATAATCGACCAATGTGTTTTTGGACTGTGGGAGGAAACTGGAGCACCCAGGCGAAATCCACATGAACACAGGGAGAACATACAAACTCCACGCAGATTCAGAATTGAACCCCGGACCCCACCATGTTGCCCAGATTTGTCACATTTCCATCCAAAATACTGATAAATGTATGGGAGGGCTTAAAAACAAAGGTCCGGAATTGAACCCAGGGCCCCAGCACTGTGAGGCAGTAATGATAGCCACTGCACCAATATGTGCCACCTGCTTTATATGCATCTACTACAGAAATATAAATCTTAAAAAAATGTGATGTTGACTACTGAATCCCTGGAAGAACATGTTAAAGAACTAAGATGTTCAGTTCCCTTTTGCACCTGAGCTGAAGCTACCAGTACACAATTTAAAAAAATGATTCAAAGACCTGGGAAGGCAGGAAAACTCCTGTGTTATATCTATAGTTTATGTGCTCCTCTTCTCCCAGTTTCCCATTAGATTCCCCGACCAAGGCCACACCCAAGCCAAATTACGAAACATGAACTTGCTCTCGGAGAACAAGAGGTCACTCTAGCAGCCAAAAATGTCAAATTTCAAAGCACCAAGCCTGAGAATTAAGAGTATCGTGTAACACTGAAAAACACATAAAAAATAAAATTACAAGAGCCTGCTGAAGTTTCCATCCTGAGGCAAATTCACTTTTCTTAGGAAGCAAAGATCAAACTCACCAAAAGAGAAAAAACAGTGCAATTATTTTCTGCAGATCCATTTGTTTCCATCATTACCTAATCATGAGCCCCTCCTGTTTCTGAGAACAGTGCTGCTGTTTGGATATAGCCCCAAATTATCCTCATCGTTTTAGACTCTGCTCTGTAACTCATGGGAACACCCACTATGCATGTGCTTGTCCTTCATAATAATGCCATTTTTTAAAGCAGTGATCTTTTCTTTTCCCGAAACGTTCCACTGTCTTTAAGAAAAGATGCAGATTACTTCTCTAACCATAAGCAATTTCATTTCAAATCATTGAACAATACCAATATGCTGAAGCACAATAAGGACCATTATTGTTCCCTATTGATATATGAGGTGGGGGGTCTAGAGTCTATAATACTAAGATTATGCTGTCTTAAAGACATGCCTCAGTACATGGCTATTTGTTCTATGAACATGATTCAGGATAGTCCTGTTCCACTTATAGCATTCATATACAACAACCAAATGTGATGCTATTTAAAACCACTCAATACAGCACTTAATTTCACTGGAACAAGTTTATTGGAAGGGGATTAAAATGCAACTCAGTGTGAAAGAACATAATAAAAACACTGTATACCATAGTTTAAGAATGATACAAGTACCCACAATTGAAATGTCATAGAAAAATGCTCCTTTTACAGATGATGCCCTAATTCAAAGCAATAACGTACCTACTTAATTACAAAGCCATCTCAATTCTACCACTGTTCTATTTTAAAAGCGCCATTTTGACTGTCTCATACATCAATCGTGCTTCACTCAAGTGCTCATCAACATTACACTAATGCACTGTCAAAATGTAATTGTGAAGGGGCTTTTAATCTCAATTTCAATGGATTTTTCTGTAATATGAATATCAATTCACTTTGCTTTTGTGTGTAGTATGCAGTTACACTGACCCACCACAGCATCGTAATGCCACTAAGTGTAGTCTTGAATAATCATAAACACACTGTATGTGGTATTTTCAACATTAATGCTTGCTTGTCCTGGTAGTACTGTAAATACTGTATGTCTCTTTGTTCAGTCTGTGTGATCTGTCATACAATTCACAAACGCTCTTGCCTATGTGAGACCATTAATAACCTTTCTGCACAGGCAGAAACATGCTCCTAACAAACATGAGGACAGAAATCACACAGCACTTTTCTCAATGTTATTTTATTAAGACCTTCTTCATCCTTTCTTTAGCCACTAATGACCCCTCCAGCACAAATCTTACATTTAAAGAAATCTAAACTCTACTGCCAGACTGCTTTCTCACAGCTCTGATTAAGCAGGTCTGACTC